CCAGCATCTGCAGTTCCTACTATCTCTTATCAGGTCTGAAGAAGGGTTACTGGACCTGAACTTAACTCTGCTTTCTCTCCCCAGGCGCTGCCAGACCTGCTGAGTTTTTCCATCAATCTCTGACTTTGTTGTTCAAAATTATGAAAGGTTTTGGTAGAGTATATACAGAGAGAATGCTTTCCCATGTGAGGAAGATGATAATTAGAAGCTATCAATGTAAGATAGTCATTGAGAAATCCAACACGGATCTCAAAGAAACCACTTCACCAAAGGTTTAGTAAAAACTTGGAACTTGCCACCATAGGTTGATGAAATTCTGTAAATGTATTTAAGGAGAAATTAGATAGCCATACAAGGGAAAAAGAAGGGAATAGGTGGTTAAAATCACAAATTTAGATGAGAAAAGATGCTAGTAGGCTCAAGTTAGGGGAGGTGATGGCCTAGTGGTATTATTGCTGGATTGTTAATCCAGAGACCCCAGTAATTTTCTGGAGACCCACATTCAAATCCTGCCAAGGCAGATGATAGAATTCAAATTCAATAAAAACCTGGAATTAAGAGTCTAATGATGATCATGAATCCATTGTCAATTGCCAGGAAAAACCCTTCTGGTTCACTAATATCCTTTTGGGAAGAAAATCCATCATCCTTATCTTGTCTGACCTACGTGTGACTCCAGACCCACAACAATGTGGTTAACTGTTAACTGCCCTTGGGGGTGGGCAAGAAATGCTAGCCTAGCCTGTAACACCTTTATCCTGTGAATGAATAAGTGGAACATAAATGCCAGTGTGGGCTGTTCGAGCCAAAAAGTCTGTTTGTGCATCCTATATCCTTTATACTCTGAGAGGGATTTAGAGTATGTAAGGGTTACCGAGATAGGGAGGGTCAAACCTGGATTTTGCCACAAGGAGCTAAGGTAGATCAGAGAGCGTAAGCATGATAGCAATTCAGCTATTGGGATGAGTTAGGACATGAGCAGCAGAGATACTTAATTTAGTGTTCCTCCTTATTACTTCAATATCCATGTGTACAAATAGGAACATAAGAATGTACTCAAAGATCTGTGCTACGAATAAACAAGACTGAAACTTTTAATAACCGGTAAACTCAATATTCGTCTGCTCCAAAACATATTCTGAGTCCTTTAATGAGGGACAAACTGAAGTATGTAAAAATAAAGGTTGCATGTAAATTCCCAATGGCATGAATAAAATAGGAATCTTGGGTTGATCTGTCACCGTCAACCCACTAGGCACAGGAGGGTTAATAACAGTTTTGAACTCTAGGCAAAGTTATCCATGATTCTTGGCGGGTCAGCTTGTGAAGATAACAGCGCATCTCACTGGCAAATCCATACTAACACAATTCTAATGAGATATCAGTTGACAAAATAATTCCATTTAATGATATTAGCAATCAGCCTTGGAAAGAGTTGCTTGGTGCTGTAGGAAATTAATTTTACTAGACTAGAAAGCATTCCTGGCAATAAGTCAGACATTCTGAAGCTTTTGTGTTTTGGCACGATGGGACAGAAATAGGATGTGGACAGTCACAGGTTAAGGCACGGTGGATAGTGCTGCTGCCTCACTGTACCAGGGACTAGGGTTCAATTCCAGCCTTGGGTGACTATCTATGTGGAGTTTTCACATTTTCCCAATATCTGTGTAGGTTTTGTATGGGTGCTGCAGTTTCCTTCCACAGTGCAAAGATGTACAGGTTGAGTGGATTGGTTCATCTAAATTGCCCCACAGTGCCCAGGGATGTGTGGGTTAGCCATGGTAAACATCCCATATGGGAGGATATGGTGCGTTTGGGTGGGATGCTCCTTGAAGGGTTGGTGTAGACTTGGTGGGCTGAATGGGCTCTTTCTGCATTGTAAAATGAATGGTATTGCAGTGGTCCTCTTTAGATTCTACAGAAATACACTACCTTTGACTTCAGTCAAAAGAAGGGTCTAGGCCCGAAACGTCAGCCTTTCTGCTCCTATGATGCTGCTTGGCTTGCTGTGTTCATCCAGCTCTGCACCTTGTTGTCTCAAAAGAAATATGGTATGGGCTTTATAAAAGTAGTTCATGCATTGTACAAATTTTCCAAAAGTTAATTTCTACCTAGTGCAGGAAACAGTTGTATGAGTTTTTTTTTTTACATTTGGAACTATCACCTGGAACTGGGCACACATTTGGACGACTTTAAGACAGTTTGAACAAGAATGATTGCAGCTGGTGTAACTGGTTTGAGGTACAAGGGACTATAATTTAAAACAGATTGTGGATTATGTTAATGATTTGGGTGAGAGAGCTAAATGTAATAACTACAAATTTGCAGTTGACACAAAGTTGGATGGGAGAGTGAGCTGTGAGGAGGATGCAAAGATACTTCGGTATGATTTGACAAGCTCTGTGAGTGGGCAGATGCAATATAATATGGATAAAATAAAGTTATCCACTTTCGTAGCCAAAACAGGAAGGCAAATTATTATCTGAATGGCTATAAATTGAGAGGGAGGAATGTGCAATGAGAAGTGAATGGCCTCATATACTAGTTGCTGAAGGTGCAGCAGGTGGTAAAGGTGGCAAATAATACATTGATCTTTATAACGAGAGGATTCAAGTACAGGGGCAGGATGGCATGGTGGCTCAGAGGTTAAAACTGTTGCTTCACAGCACAAGGAACCCAGGTTCAATTTCAGCCTTGGGTGATTATCTGTGTGAAGTTTGCACATTCTCCCTGTGTCAATGTGGGTTTCCTCTGGGTGCTGTAGTTTCTCCCCACAGTCCAAAAGTGCAGATTAGGTGGATTGACCATGGTAAATTGCCCTATAGTGCGGCTGTAGTAGGGTTGTTCAGGCTAGGGGGGTTAGCTATGGTAAATACAGGATTACAGGGATAGGGTGGAGGTATGAGATTCTCTTCAGAGGGTGCAGACTCAATGGGCCAAATGGCCTCCTATGACCAGTATAGGAATTCTTTGATTCTTGGGATGTCTTGCTGCAAATGTTCAGGCCCTTGGTGAGACCACACCTGGAATATCGGGTGCAGTTTTGGTCTCCTTATCCGAGGAGGGATGTTCTTGCAATAGGGGGAGTGAAACTAAGGTTTATCAATCTGATTCGTGGAATGGTGGAACTAATGTGTGAGGAGAGTTTTGGATCAGTTAGGATTATATACAATGGAGTTCAGAAGAATAAGTTGGGGGGTGGAATCTCACAGAAATCTATAATATTCTAACAGGACTAGAAAGGGTAGATGCAAGAAGGATATTCCCAGTGATGGGAAAGTCCAAAAACTAGGGGTCACAGTCTGAGGATACAGGGTATATCATTTAGGACTGAGATGAGGAGAAATTTCTTTACCCAGCCGTGGCCAAAACATTGTAAGATTTCAAGAAGGAGTTGGATGTAGCACTTGCTAAAGGGATCAAAGAATATGGGGGTAAAGCAGGAACAGGCTATTGAGTTTGTGGTTGACTGTCAACTACCCTCCAGGCAGTTAGGGATGGGCAATGCTGGTCGAGCCAACGATGCCCACATCCTGTGAATGAATAAAGAAAAATTGGAATATCAGTCATGATCATAAGAATGGAAGAACAGGCTCGAGGGACCGAATGACCTACTCCTATTTTCTATGTTTCAAAGAAGAACAAAGAATGTGACTAAAACAATGGAAAGGATCTGACCACATAAGGCAGGACTTCCCACATTTTAGCTTATTTATGCAGTCATTTCTAATTGTTCAAATGTTTTTGCCTTATTTGTCAAAGTTTATTTCAATGACTTAATTGTTCAAATTCTTGTGCCAGCAAAGTATCCTTGTTTCCCTTATAAAAACAGACCTTGCTGGAAAAGCTCAGCAGATCTGGCAGCATCTGTGAAGAGAAATCAGAGTTAACCGGTGACCCTTCCTCAGAACTGGACCCAAAACGTTACCTCTGATTTCTCTTCACAGATGCTGCCAGATCTTCTGAGCTTTTCCAGTAACTTCTGTTTTTGTTTCTGATTAACAACATACACAGTTCTTTCGGTTCTTGTTTCCCTTATGACTAACTTCCATTTTAATTGATGATTTCATTTATTACGTTACAAATGTAGGAGCTGATGAAGATAGAACATCTCCCTAGACCAAATTTGACACGTCTTCAGGTTTTTAGTGATGTGTTTGAGGACATCTGTCGGGACTCACCAACACTTTGTGAAATCTTGAGAGAAATCAAGGTAATTTACAACCACAAAATGTGTAGTATTTGTTGTTTGTACAATGTGTAAGTTAAAAATGGGTGCATTGAAACAAATAATTTTACAGCAAAAGGGGGACAATTCAGTCAAAAGGAGCTATCTCCTTGGCCGCTCTGCCTGTATTGTTTCAAATGCTCATTTCAAAATTTTATCTGCATCCTTTTTTAAATGTTAAGACCCTGGAACAGATCAAAATGTAAAGTATGATCCAGCTAGGGAATGGTAACTTTTACATTCAAGTAGACAAAGTGTGAGAACCCCAGGTTCTTGGAGAATGAAGCCACAAGAAATCACAACAATAGACTTCACTACATAAAGTTAGAATAGCAATGCAATCGACACACACAGACAATACTGGAGAAACTCAGCAGGCGTGGCAGCATCTGTGGAGAGAGAAACAAAGACAGATTTCCTTTTTTCTTCTTAAATCTATATATAAATAAAATAAATATGAAATGTTATATTCCTAATTTTTTTCTCTTTGTTCATTTAAGTTCCATGTGTCCTTCTTCTAGTAGGTCCAAAAGTTTCTTACAGCTTGCTCATTCCTTTGTAAAGCAATCAGATGACTGCTGCTAAGCACCCACTTCAATTGGAGATTTCTCCATTTTCCAGATTCTGTTTTAAAACTGCAATATTGATCTTCGTCTATTTACATTCACATATCTGTTGCGTGTACGTTACAGTGACTTATACTCATTGGATGTTGCTGCTGAATTTCTTTTAAGAATTTCTTTCAAAGTTAAGAAAAATGTCCTATCTACTGCCTCACTAAAAGCGAGACTTTCCGCTGCTAATGTACTTTGTAGTAGTCATCTGATCTCTTTTGATTCCTAATCAAAGAGACAACATTCACCTCCTTTTCCCACAAGAAAATTAATGCTCCTCCTGCACTTGAGGACCCATGACAGAAATTTGCATAGGGAGCATCGATAAAAGCAAGTTTCATGTTCCCGGCATCTCCTAGCTATGGAAATTTCAACACACAATGCTCCATTTTTAATTCTTTCAATTTTTCTCCCCTAAATACTATGTTCCACCTTGGGTTTTTTCATAGTTGTACTCAATTCAACTATGGCACCCAGCCTTGTTTAGGTGCCCAGCCAGTTCAGCTGTCCAAATAGACCTTGTTATTTATCTAAATCAGTTTTGGAAGCCATTGCATATTTTTGAGAGGTTCTACTTTGATTAAATGCAATGGTCCTATAATTTCCAAGTGAGATTGCTGATGAAAAGTGATACTTGATCCGCTCTACTTGATTCCAAATCCAGTGTACTTAAAAAGTCTCAGAAACCTTCCTTCCAATTTTGAATTCTGCTTCAAGGCCATTTATGGTAATGATTTCTAACTTATTGCTCCCACGTCACAAAAACAAATTATCTAAATGCATCATAAAAATGTCTGAAAACTACCCCTTGTCTTGTCTGTAAAACGTGGCAGGGTCTGTATTTTACTGATGACAGCCCAATTTTAATAAGACAGATCTTACTGAGAAGTATCAAACGCTAGAGGCATTGTTTAGGCTATATATCTATATCCATCTATCTGTATATATATTTATTTAACTTGCAGAATGTCTGTACTGCGTTTGATACTATTTTGGAGGACAAAGAAGAGCTTTCTCCTTGAATTGATCGTCCCTTAAAAATGCAGATTTTATAAAAATGATTGACACTCACTAACACTTATTTGCTCTATCTGCCTTTGGTGAACCTACTGTTATCCCTTAGACCTTCAGTTTTTCTTCAAACCCTTGTGTCCCTAGCCTTGCTTTAGCTTTGCAAGTCTTATAATTTCTGTATATAATCATCACTGTGTTAGAGTTCCGAGGAAGGGTCACTCAACCTGATACATTAACTCTGTCTCTCCACAGATGCTGCCAGACCTGCTGAGCTTTTCCAGCAATTTCTATTTTTGTTTTTGGTTTACAGCATCCGCAGTTCTTTCAGTTTTTATTTTCTGTGATTGTTCTCTATTTGCCACCTCCTTGTACACTTCAAATTCTATCTAGCTTTGTAATTCTTGTTGTTTGGCATCTTCTGTCATCTTCTATTTCTTTTCTGTGTGGTCGATAAGACTCTCCAATCACATGGGCTTCTGCACCTGATGGTGTTCCTGGTTTGTACTATACTTTTTGACCTATTTACACCCTCTATTTTGCCTTCTATCTCTTTCTAGATTGCTACTGTTTGATTGCCCCCCCTTGAATTAATGGGATTCTTTTCAATGGACTATGATCTCTTTTTAGGGCCATGTTCACTTCCAGTGTTTGAGCTTATAAAATGTTTTATTGCCTTCCATTTTGTACTTCTTGTTCCTAATACATGGACCTAACTGCCTCCATCTCATCCAGCACATTTATCCAGTTTTTATATTTTCCATCGGCCTTCCCTGCTATACATATAATAGTCACATTCTTCACTGGCTTGCTTCCTTCTGCTAAATGTTTGATTTAGTACCCATTCTGGCCATTGTTCTTTTTGACCAGTGGCCTCAAATGGCCTCATCGGTACTGATCTGTCCATTATCAGACAAACTGTCATTGTACAATTTAATTCTCACAGCTGCACAGCATTTGGTTATGAGAGGGACCTGGTTCCCAGTTATTTTCTGTAGCTCCTTCAATATTTGCAAAGTTGCAATTCATACCAAACAATCCAAAGAATATATCCGAACAATCAGGCTCCCATGCTGTACAATTATTATTTGCTTGTCTTTATCAATAACCTTCTTCAGGTCTCCATTTTTTAAGCCCCTCTGTCATGCAATATCTCACATCTTCCTGAGTGAACCTGGCTTCTGATAACCTTAACTTGTATCTTAAGCTTTGCCAAATTCTTCCTGAAACTTTGTCTTCAGTGAAAGCCTTTCTGCCTCCATTCTCTGAAAAAAATAGAACTAATTGTAGCCCCTTACCTATTACTGATGGAACTTGAGAATTCCTGCCTAAAAGCAAACTGATATAGACTATATCCTCCAAACATCTGCAATGAATTCTTAGCATGGACAGCCCATATTAGTGTAGATGATAATTTATGGCTTGACTGATGTGCCAAAATTTTATAAGCTGTTTTGTTTTGTATTGCATGGTTCCTTTCAATTACTGCACTGTTAAAAAGATTTCTGCTGCAGTATTCATACTTATTATGTTCACATTCACACACACAAAATTCATTGTTAGCAACTTCCTTCAATTATCAGTGAGAAATTTTGCTGGTGGTCCATGTCTGGTTCCTATTCACTTTTCCATTACCTTAACTACAATTATTTTCTCATCTTTATGATGTGTTCTGGTTGACTGACAAGATCTGGTTGCAAAATGTAAAATGAATATTTTTTAACCTTTATTCCTCAACCACTACCTCAATAAAACCTCTTGACCTGGTTAGACTCAGTATAGGCTGTGACTATGTCTTTCAGTATTTCTTACTAATTTCATATCTCTTCTGTGACCTCATCATGCTTCCTAGCCCTTATTCCTGCATCCTTTGTGAAAATTTTTAACCTTTTTGGAGGACTGATGGGCAGATTGCCAATATAATTTTAACACAATTGACTTTTTGTCTTCTAAATTTCTACCACTGATATTAATGACATTTCTTTAATTTCTATAGTGGAGAGGTTCTGTTCCAGTAAAGGAGTACAATCGTGTCCCAATTATGTAAATTGCAAATTCAGATTTTTCAAATACAAAAGCTTTGTCATTTTCTTATCCAGTTTTATCTGTTCTTTCTTCATCGATGACCTACTTAACGACAGCAGTGTTTCATTGGATACTGCATTTATACTAATAAAATTGTTGATTTTGGCTATTTTACAAAGAATGACCACTCTTTTCAAAGATTTTAGTGTATTATCATCCCCAGATCTGAAACTGATGAAACTCTCAAATTCTTTAACTTTGTCCTGATTCTTATTATACCGAGAGTCTAGGCAGCACTTTAGCCAGTCTGTTCTACACGCTGTAGGCATGTATCCAGTCTTTAATACTGCACAGATAGAAGACGTTTCCACCACCACATTTATCAATGCGCTGAAGCTTTCTGTGACGATTACAATGTCCTTTCTTTGATCTGCATAACCAACTTCTCCCTCCAGATCTAGCATTTCTTATTTAGTTTAAGTTCCTCTATTATACAGTTTGGGGCAGTTCATGGTGTAATGGTAGTTTGAATCACATCTAAAACACCCTCAGCATTTCTGGGGTTTGTTCTCTCCCTTTTCACTCCTGAAAATTATCAATAGCATTTTTGTTCTCATTTCTCTTAGTAACAGTTTTCCTTTCATACTATTGACTGTGACCTGTGCAGAAGCGCTCTCACCAATTTGTTAGCATTCTGTCCTCCATTTTCAGTAGTAAAAAAAAAAGAAACATGGTACAGGGAGGATGAGGCAACCATGGCTGACAAAGGAAGTCAGGGATAGCATAAAAGCAAAAGAGAAAGCATATAAAGTGGCAAAGGGCAGTGGGAAACCAGAGGACTGGGAAAGACCAACAGAGGGCAACAAAAAAAGAAATAAGGAGGGAGAAGATTAAATATGAGGGTAAGCTACCAGTCATATAAATAAGAGTTTCTTTAGATGTATAAAGGGCAAAAGAGAGGCAAAAGTGGACATTGGACCACTGGAAAATGATGGTAGAGAGATAGTAATGGGGAACAAGGAAATGGCTCAGGAACGGAATAATTACTTTGCATCAGTCTTCACGGTGGAAGACCCAAGTAATCTCCTAAAAATTCAAGAGAGTCGGGGCAGGGCTGAGTATGGTGGCCATCACCAAGGAAAAGGTGCTAGTAAAACTGATTGGCCTGAAGGTGGACAAATCACCTGGACCAGATGGACTACACCCCAGAGTTCTAAAGGATATAGCTGAAGAGATATTGGAAGCATTAGTGGTGATCTTTCAGGAATCACTAGAGTCAGGGAGGGTCCCAGAGGACTGGAAAATTGCTAACGTGACACCCCTGTTTAAAAAGGG